GTTTCTGCAAATTTATTTTCCTGAAAGCATTAACCTTCAAAGTAAGCAAATTGATGCGCTTGGCGTTAGACAGTCAGAAATACAATTTATTTTTGCTCCGAAACTTTCAATTTTGTCTAATAAGAGCTAATCACTGTGTGAAACTTGCAAATCAGTTATGTGAATATGTGTGTACCACCGTGTGAGTAGAGATTTTACATTTTGCGTCACACATCACTCAAAATACTGAGTCTTCTCATTTTCAGAGAAAAACAAAAATCTTACGACTTTCGAAGCAGTTTAGCGGGCATTAAACCTATTGGAAAGTTTTCTTTTTCATCTAGTAATCACAAACAAATTTTCAAGACAATAAAAAATTATGTTTTTGAGAAAATTTAGTCTTTTGATTTTTCCAAAACTGGCCGCCATTTTGTTAATTCTCAAAAGATTTCAAATTTTCAAATGTGCAAATATAGAGCATCAAAAACACTTATGAAATCAAAAAACCGAATTGAAAAATATGGATTTTTGAAAAAAAATAGAAAGATTTCAATAAAAAAATTGTCAGCCGCTTTACTCTAAAACTGCACTTTGCCCTAAAATTTTCAGATGCTCGTAACCCAGCGATTTTTTTTTTCGCAAAACCAAAAAAACACGTGTCTCTGTGGGCCAAAGACCTAAAAAACATGAAAATCGTATTAAACTTGTTTGCGAATTTTGAACCCATTCACCCTGCATGAATTGAAATAGAATCAGCCATTAATCAATACTTTTCGATGGGTAATCACAAAAAAAGTTGACTCTAATTTAAAAGCAGCTTTTTAACAAATATCCCATTTAAAGTTATGCCAAAAAGCTGCTTTGGATTTAAAGTCGATTTTATTTTGATTGTAACTATGGGCCACTATTTTATTACTATAAAATACATTTCTCATATAATAGCTGTTATGAAACAACTATTTCGGTAAATTGCAGAAAATTTACAACATTTTTATAATTTTGAGTGACCAGTTATTTAGGTCCATCTGTACCCAGATTCCTAATTCGCGCTGCAGTTTCAAGATTTCCGCACCAAGGTTAAATAAATGATACCTGCAAAGTTGTAACAAACAATTCATAACTTTCTATGCTTTATAAAAATATTCCTAAGCTAGAGATTTTGATTCTTTCAATTTGTAAAAAAAAAAAATCATTACATCAATAAAAATTCGACGCCCTAATATATATCTTACGCGAAAGATATAAATCATAGCGTAGTGGTAGGCATTGCAATAACTAATTAACTAATCCCAAGGAGGGTATCCTTTCCCGCCCAATCTACACGAGCGGTGCAGTCCGCATGACGTACGGAACTTGTGTTTTTTTTTTTGTTTTTATACCCGAGTGCACTTGTGCACAAGGGTATATTAATTTTTTTCACATAACGGTTGTTTGTAACAGCCAAAACGAATCGAGATAGATATAGACAAATGTAAACATATATGCTCAGAATGAATAGAGAAATCGATTAAGCCAAGTCTGTCTGTCCGTCCGTCTGTCCGTCTGTCCGTCCGTCCGTGTACACGATAACTCGAGCAACAATTGAGATATCTCAACGAAATTTGGTATGCAGGTTTCCCTTAATCCAAGGTAGGTTGGTATTGAAAATGGGCGAAATCGGACCTTAACCACGCCCACTTCCCATATAACGGTAATTTCCAGAAATACGAAAACTGCGATATTTTAGTAACTACTGAAGATAATTCACTCAAAATTGATATTTACAATAATTTTTAGACGAAAAATAAGAATATTATAAATTTTTGGAAAACGGGCGTTGCCACGCCCACTTATGGTTACATGTGTATATCGTGGTAAAAGCTGCACCAAATTCTTCCAAACTTGGCACAGTTGTTGGTCTTGAAACAGCATACTAAATGGCCGAAAATTTAAAAAATCGGACAATAACCACGCCTACCTCCCATATAACGGTAATTTTCAGAAAAACGAAAACTGCGATATTTTAGTAACTACTGAAGATTATTTACTCAAAATTGATATTTGCAACAATTTTTAGACGAAAAATAAGAATATTATAAATTTTTGGAAAATGGGCGTAGCCACGCCCACTTATGGTTACATGTGTATATCTTGGTAAACGCTGCACCAATTTCTTCCAAACTTGGCACAGTTGTTGGTCTTGGTACAGCATACTAAATGGCCGAAAAATTTTAAAATCGGACAATAACCACGCCCACAGTCCATATAAGGGTAATTTAGAGAAATACAAAATCTTCGATAAATCAGTAAATATTAAAGCTAATTTATTCAAAATTGATGCTTGCAACAATTCTTTGCCAAGAAATATTTTTGTGGTAAAATTTTGGAAAATGGGCGTGGTACCGCCCACTTATGATCACATATATGTATCTCGGTAACCGTTATACCAATTTGTACCAAACTCGGTATTTTTATTGTGCTTGCCACATAAAAGCAAAATGTTGAAAATTATTGAAATCGGACTAAAATTACGGCCGCTTTTCATATAACGGTAAATTTCAGAAATGCTTGAAACTGCAATATTTCGAAATTTAAGGACGCTAATTTACTCAAAACTGATACACTCCGGCTTACCATCTAGCGGTAGGTTTCGGAAAGGTGAAAAAACATATATTTAATACTTGCGCCGGGTATTTAATGTACGGCTCGGCCCGAACTTAGACTTTCTTACTTGTTCTTTTTTTTTTTGGTGTCTGGTCGTGGACACAGGACTTTGTTAATCTAAAACTATTCAGCTACAGAATAAAATTCATCAGCTGATTGGATAAGCTAAAGTTAGTATGTCAATTATTGAGAGAGGAAATGATAGCTTTATTTATAGTAAAACTAAAGTCCGATACGTCAAGTGTGCTTGAATGAAATTTAAGATCTTGACATAAACAATGAAGTGATTCGTTAAATTCAAAATATGCTTTGCATGGCTTCAAAAACAAAGGTTGACAGTGTCTCGATACCCGAGAGGGAATTTTAAATTATGCTGAGAATTTCGTCTTCTACAAAAGAATTTTCTTATCGTTTTGATTAATGCAGTTGATTTCACGTAGTCAGAGTTCTTGGCATTGAGTTGGACAAAATTTGTTCAACATTGATATTCAAAATTTTAAAATTTTATAAAAATATGGGCCCGAAAATTTTTTCGATTTGATATTCCAAAAGTATTTTGAAAATGGAAAATTTGGTATCAATCGGTGCTATAACATAAAAAATTATAAACACAACTTAGATCCAAAAGCTAATTAGTATCCGAAATGAACTGAAATGCACCTTATTGTAATTTTGATAAATATTTTTCAGTCAACGAACTTCCCGCATCAACAACCAATTTTTATTTCAAGTAAAAGACAGACAAAAATATTAAAATCTACCCGGTTGGTAACACAAAAAATCGATATTATCCAACAAAATGCCAAGTCTTAAATCATATTATTTTATTATCGTAGCTCTCTAAGATACTTGAAATTTTATACAAAATAATTAGATTTGTTAAAAGTTAAGAGCGACACTCACCATTATTTAGATTCGCCAACCCAAAGACTATCATCATTGTGATGTGCAGCAAATTGTTGCCAGCCTGTTGACTATGCCGCAAAAACATTTTGGCTTGAAAGACTGAATGCCCTTATGCTGCTAAAATATTTTTGAAGTGACTTCAATTTACTTATTACGCCAAAATTGAGACTTTCCGCACACTTGTTGTTTAATGGTTTTAATTGAATTCTTCTTTCATTTTATTTTTATTTTTATTTTATTTTAATTTTTTTGCTTTATGTTGTTATTTATATTTTCTTTTGTTGAACTTGCACTTGGATTTTCACTGCTTGTTGAACAAAACACAAAACTTTTGCCGCAAAATTTATAAAATTTATTTATCTAACTTACTTTCAGGTTTTCGAGTAAATACGTGGCCGGCAATAAGGTCAGCGCGGGCTGTACTGAGTTCAAAGCGGTGAAGGTTGAAGGTGAACAAGCGGAAAGGAGGGCGGATTTTAAGTTTACTTTTTATTTACACTTTCATGGCATTGACATACTTGGGGTTGAGGTTACGAATGACGTTAGAATTTTTTACAAATTTTTCATAGTTTGTAATTTTAGCACTGTAGTTTAATATATGTATTGTTTGTATACAATTTTAACTAGGGATGCTGCAGAAAAAATATGTATGTATGCATACTTTTAACGTGTATGTTTGTAGGATTTACAAATAAATTTATGCATTTTTATACATACAAAATTTTGCAATTGTCAACAGCTGCTATTACACTTCAGTGAGTATTTCACGTGCAAACACACACACACACATACAAATACATATGTGGTTATTTGCATTTCAACTTAAATGTTGTTCGACAGTGTGGGTGTGCCATACAAAGGCTTCACTTACTCGGCACATCGTCGGTTGTCTTGTCTATTATCTTCAGCACATACACATACATTTGCACATGAAATGACAACAGCGAACGTATGTGTCTCAGTAAAGTCAAATTCTCATCTGATTTCGTGTTTTTTTTTATTTATTTCTTCATGCAAGTTTGCTGCTTTCTGTTCTCAACATTTCTGTGAATTTGTTGTTTCCGCAGCTGCACTATTTAGTAGAGCATATCTACACACAAACACACACAAGCATACTCGCCTGGGTTTATGCTAAACATTTTCAATTCCAGTTCAAAACCTGTATTTGTTCATATGCAAGCATGTATGCATGTGTGTATATACGAGTATGTGTGAGTGCATTTTAGTGTCGTTTGTTGTTGCCTCATTCAAATTGAATGCATTGAAATTATCGAAAATATTTTATTTATGCTAAACGCGCTCCAACACTGCTGTCATCGTCACACGAAGTAGTCCGCACGTACACTCAATACACACACAGTGAAGTTAATGCATAGTTTTTTTTTTATTTTTGTCTTTTACTTTTTTGTTTGCGACAACCATTTGCAACGTCTACTACTGCACTAACATCGCAATGCTGCAACTATGCTACACACACACACATACTAGTTTTTGCTTGCGAGTTTTTGCTTGGCAAAGCATTTTCACGCTTCGTTGGTTTGGTATTCGAATTTTTTGCACTTTTCGTCAACACTTTTTTTAGCACTTTCTTTGTTTTTTGATGGTTTGAATTTTCAAACACTCGTGCATATTTTCAAATGCTTTGCTGCGTTACGTTTTCGTACACATTTGCATTTCATTTCGTTCGCAAACTTTTTTTTTAAGGTTTTCAATCAATCTGTGATGAATATGTTTTCTTTTGTGCTATTTTTGTTTTCTATTATTTTATGTTGCATTATTTTTCTTTTCCACTCTTATTATTTTCAGTGTTCACTGGCACATGCTCCGCATATTAGGTATTTATCAAGAGTAATCATTCGAAATATTCGCGCGGAATTTCACTTTCGCTGTCACTTGCGAATTTTTGTAGTTTGGTTTATATTGGAATCATAAATTTGTTTAATTTTGGTTCTTAATTATCTGTTGCATACTTTACAGCGCAGTTGACAGAGTTTGGCATTCTCCTGGTGTTTTGACAGTTTCATTTCTCAGTTATTGCTGTTGGGACTCGGTTGTCTCACATGTTCCAGATATCACTGATTGGCTGCACCTGTAGTAATAATAAATATTTTAAATAAAGTAAAAAATATATTTTTTCGTGTTTAAATTTTCATTTAATTAAAGACCTTTGAGAAACTTTTAATTTAATTATTAAACTAAAATGAATGTTGTCATGTATTAGCTATTAAACACTAAGCGTTTCTAAAATTCAAAAAAAAAAACAAGTAAGAGCAGCGCTGTCTTCGGCTATGCCGAAGGCTTCATACCTTTCATGAACATCTGAAAATTTTACTTTAACAGATTACTGCATTTAAAAAAATTTATATATTTACAGAATACATAGATAGAGGAGATACATATATTTATGAAAAACCATATCTAAACAATCAAAGGTATTGAAGATATATCTTATATAGCACCAATCTAAGCAATTTTCACTGCTGTATGATCGGTATGTAAACCGGTAACACAATTTAATGGGTTTAGACTCCTACATAAAGGAGTCGTAATAACTGGTATCTGAAAAATCAGAGGTTTAAGAGATAAAGTTTATACAGCATAGATGTTTACGACTTTTTCAGTAGACTTTGTATTATTATTTATAAAATATCTTACGAAATTTATCTTTTTTAGCAGTCCAAATAAAGGAGTTTTACAGTAAAACCCCATATCTGAACAATCAGTTGTATGGAGGATATAAATAGGTTACAGTGACCCGCTTTTTGCTAATTTTACTGTAAACTTTCTGTTGGTAATTAGTGAAAATATTGCGAAATTTCATGTTTCTAGCTGCATAAATGGAGAAGTTATCGCAAAAAATCTCATATCTGAACAATCAGTTATATGGAGGTTATAGGTTATAGCGACCCGATCCTCGTCATTTTCACTGAAAGCATTCTTTTGATAATGGGTGAAAATAGTGCCAAATTTCATGTTCCTAGCTACTTAGATGGAGGAGTTATAACGAAAAATCTTATATCTGAACAATCAGTTGTATGGGAGCTATAGGTTATAGTGACCCGATCTTTGTAATTTTCATTAGAAGTTTTCTGTTGATAATGGGTGGAAGAATTGCAAAATTTCAACTTCCTAGCTGCATAAATGAAGAAGCTATAATGAAACATGTCATATCTGAACAATCAGTTGTATGGGAGCTATATGTTATAGTGGTCCGATTCGTCAGGTTCCGACAGATGATTAATACTTTACAAAAATACATTCATCTGCCAAATTTGATCCAGATATCTCGAAAACTGAGAGACTAGATTGCATACAAACAGACGGACAGACAGACAGACAGACAGAAAGACAGAAAGACAGACGGACAGACGAACAGACGGGCATGGCTAAATCGACTCAGCTCGACGTTCTGATCATTTAAGTGTACATTTTAATGGGCCTATCTCAAACATCGGACGAAAGTTATAATACCATTTCATGCTCATGAAAGGTATAAAAATTACAAAAATGCTCTAAAATTATAGCACTGTGAAACAAAACTGAACTTAAAAAAAAACTTTGCGTGCGCATATTTCAGGTTTTTTTTCGGAGGAGGAAGCATCGAAAGCCTTAACCCCAAACCAGTGAGTGTGACACTTTAACCAACTAAACCCCCCTCCGGTACCACCGCCAAGTATTTCGTCGGGACGCAATTTGAGCACTAAGCTCTACGTCCGTTACCGTGCACATGATACCACCCGCTGTTAAAGTCTAACTGGTGTTAAAGCAACCCACCCATTTAGATAGTCCTACTAGGAAGTTCGCATCTAAGTAAAGTATAGACCGCATATAGCAATTTAATGTCGCTTTTTCGATATTTAGAGGCTCGCCCTCTTAACACCGTAACTTCTCAAACGGGCTTGTTGCGCCATGACTGTAGCGGCTGCTAAGTTAGGTTGCGTCGAAGGACTTTAATCATTTCCGCAGAGAAATGGCAGACATCGTTCCATGATTCCTCGCTCATTAACATTATCGGTACCATATTTTCTGGTGTTATACAGGAGCCACGTTTAGTATTATGTGCGGGTCTCATGGAGTCGAAGCGGGAGCTATATTTGCTCGGGCTATATTTCATCGTTGGGCTTTATTTACTTTGTATGCTATTTTCAACAAATATAGTTCAAAAACTGATACATTTTCAAAATTTTTAGAAGAACAATTTGGCGGCTATATTCAGATTTTTGGATCATGAAAATTTTTTTCTCGAGAGAACGAACTGACATAGTTAATCTGAATACGAATCCAGCAGCTATCAAACCTAATATATGCGCACTCTAGTTTTTTTTATGTTCCACAGCGTAATAATTATTAATTATTAGATCTAAGTTTTAACTTTTTAGGTCATATTTGTTAACAGTGATTTCCTCTCCAACAAGCCAGCAGAGTAGCACGCTTAGGCCAACAAGTTAAAGCTTAAGCAGACGGCAGCATTGATCCGGAGTAACTCGGACTTAATCTGGATCAACTGCAGTTAATTCCCGAGTTGATCCGGATCAACGCTGCCGTCTGTTTATGCTTTTAGACTCATTAGGATTCCACTTAAGCGAACCCTTATGCAATTCTACCGCACTTTTATTGCGACGAAACATAGAGTTACTTGGCAGTCAAAAATGGTATAAATAAAGGTCACTAATCTAATGGAATTTGAATGTAGATCGGCAGAAAATACTTCAGTTAAAAGGTATCACAGAACTTTTCCCAAAAAAATTCCTTGATTGCTTCCCAACTGTCAGATTTCGAGCCGCTTTTATTTTAAGGCGATACCAGCAAAAATATTTTTGTTTGGAAGCATAATTTTGAGCTAATATTTCTTTTTTTTTTGTAAAAATTAATTAAAAATTAGTCGTTACCAATTATGGAACTCTCTTTTAACGATAGCAAAGGGGCCGTTTTAAATCTCTGCTTTAATTTTGACCAATGACAGTACTCAATCCCGACTCTTTCGTCCTCGTTCGCGCACTCTGGGCAACGTGAGCAACCCATGTGCGAGATGCGGTAACCAATCCGAGTGGAGTCACGCAAAAATAATGGGAGCTTCGGTGCGATCACTCGGAATTATTCGGTTTAAGGGCCCACTGAGTATGTAGCGTCTGTTCACCAGTTGGTGCGACCGCAAGCGGGTGTCTGTCTTGGAGTAAGCGACTCGCTATATAAACGTGTATTTAGTTGCGAAACCACCTTCGTCCCAGCAATGGTTTGGGATCCGCTGCGTAAAAACCCGTCACGTAAGCGGCAGAGAAAATGCTCGACGCTTTCAACAGTTGAGGCAGTACTGTCTCAGAGGGCGACTTGCTTTATGGCTGCTAATTCAGTATGGCAGTATACGCTAAAGTGGTCGGAGAACTGTAAATTTAAGTTCAGGGAGAGCTCTTGCGAATACATCTCACCAATAACCATATTTCTCAGCTTTGAAAAATTTTCAAGAATTGCATTAGATTCTTGATTCCGGATTCCCTACGGAATTATAACAGGCAACATCTTTTTAAAGCGGAGTAGACGACTTGTGTAATCAAGCTAGTGTTACCAAAACTTAGGTCTCCCCAGGTGTGAGCTGCGTTAAATATAATTGCGTTTAGGCTGACTTAAAAACCCCCCATGAAGACCGATAGGAAGAGGAGTTAGTCAAATTTCCTTGTTGGTGGAGGCTAAAGTGCTCAACACATTGGACACATGCATTACTCAGGCATATTCGCAAGCGAATTTTACTAAAAAAAAATTATATAATTACATCCACTCCTTGACGCGAAATTAGTATATATGCAAGAAACAAAATTTTAGAGGAGGGCGTTTTTTTCTGCTTTAAAAAATTTTTGAACATTTTTTGTATATTGTTTGTTTTTTTTTTACTGCGTGCAAAATACTCTTGTTTTGCACTTATGAACGGCTGAGTGGAAGATCGGCCTATCTTGACAGCCTGTTCGAACAAACCCTATCTCAGGAAACTTTCCAAGAACGCCCTTAGTCAGAATTTTATTTAAGAGCGCCCTATTTCATAATTCGGTTTAAAATCAAATTCCTTAAATAGTAACAACAGGCTTTCTGTATTAAACTAAGCGAAGCACTGGGTTCTCACAAAAAGATACGCAGGCAGCTGATGTTCACTCCGGAGATCTTTTCGAGAGTGTTGAGGAAATGCGCAATGAAGTGCTTAAACATCAGTCTAGCGAATGCCGGGCAGATGAGAAGGAAGTGCTGAACCTCGTCTTCAAAATAGCTGCGGCAGTAGGGAGCCGTGACGATATTAAGTCCAACCGCGTGGGTTCCTAAAGGACAATGTCCGGGCAATACTCTTGTCAGAATCGATAGCTGGCACTTAGCCAACAGCAGAAGCTCCTTTGCATGTCGCGCTCGCTGTGGCGATCTATCTAGGAGCAGGTCGCAGTTTGCCAATGGAAATACTATGCCTTTCCCTGTCCGAGGTGGTGGCCTTGGGGGGTGATTTGCCTAGCCAGTTCATCAGCTCTGAAATTTCCAGGCCACTGTGATTTCACTGCTGCCTGTTTCAAAGCGACGGACTGAAAGACGATGCAGAAATTCGGTAAATTTTTTTGTTTTCAACTTCGTTTGACATTAGCCTGAGACATACAACATGTTGGGAAATAAAACGCCTACCGCCGAAGAAAATTTTTCTAAGTCACTGACCTATCAAACCGACGTTTGGTGTCTACATTTTTTTTTTATTTAAGGAAGGCCAATTATTTAGCCCAGCTATAAGTTATAGCGCCATTAACAAAATGATATAAATATTAAAAAGTAATAATAACAATTTAAATTCTTTCAAAAATTCATCTTTGATCATTTTGACTTCCATAAAATTCTTCAGAAATTGATATCCTTTATATCTAAACAAAAAAAATTGTGTTCTCCTAATTTTTAGAAAAAATTTAGGTACACATTTTGAGATGAATATAAACTTATGCCCAGTTTTTATATAAGCAAGGAAATACTTTCACTTTCTAATCGAAAAAAAAGTTATATGCAGTATTTAAATGACCAAAATTTATGTTCATCAAAAGTTAATGTTAATATTTCCAAAACTTAACCAAAGGT